ACCCCAGGTTTTTTAATTAATAGTTGAAAACACAATCAGAGATCGATAACTAAGTGCCTATAATCAATCTGAAAAAAAAAAAGCCCAGATGCTTTTTAATTCTAATTTTGCTGTACTAAAATGATATTTATAAATTATAAAAGCCTTTATGAATTATCTAATCACTTCTCAGTATAATTCTTCCCTTTATAATGCAGCTCCCAGTGTTGAGGATGCAGTGAGAACTTTCAATGCTAGGGTTTTTGTCAAACTCTTCAGACATTTTTGCTTAGAAATTCTGATTGAAGGTGGGGCCCAGTACCCCTTGTGACCAAGGAACTTGGGGACCCAGAAAGAAGAAGCTGCCTCAGCAAAAAGATGAGCTCCATAAAGTTCTAGAGTGTAGCTCGGTCTGTTTTCAGGAGCAGATTAATAACCAGAATCCCACCAGAATGCTTCTTTCTTGGCTTATACCGAAAATGAAGGGTGACGCCTCAGACATCATCTAACAGCTGCTAAGAAGCAAGGACACCTAAATTCCCATCAGCCGTCTTTGTAGATGATCAATTCGGTATTCTCCTTTCTCTTCTTTCCCCTGCTCGCCTTGCTGCCCCATGCAGTCACGCGTTAGGAGATGGGAAGAAAAAGAAACATGCTTTTTTTTTTTTTAAGATTTTTATTTATTTATTTGACAGACAGAGATCACAAGCAGGCAGAGAGGCAGGCAGAGAGAGAGAGAGGAGGAAGCAGGCTCCCCGCTGAGCAGAGAGCCCCATGTGGGGCTCGACTCCAGGACCCTGGGATCACGACCTGAGCCGAAGGCAGAGGCTTTAACCCACTGAGCCACCCAGGCGCCCCAGAAATATGCTTTTCTGTTTGTTCTTTCTTGGTGGGATGACACATGGAAACTGCTCCAGTGAGCCCTTTGGAAGCTCAACAGACATTGATAAAATCATCTAACCCACATTTCTTCTTCTGTCCTAAAGGATTTGAGAGGATTTAAAAGTTTATAGACAATAAAACAGAAAAGTACATAACTAAGCAGAGTTAGAAACCATATAAATTCGAATGGAAAGTTAAGAGCCCTGTCCACTTCTGCAAGCTTAAAGCTTGGACTTTGGTGAACTCCTGCTTTGGGGGCAGGCCCAGTGGGTGGGCTTTCCTGGGCAGCGGGGAGGACAGGAAAACTCATTAGTGATTTCCGCAAATATATCTCTGTTAAAAGTGGGAGCAAGTTTGAAAGTTAAGTGGGTTGACTAGAAATTCGTCTTTACTGTTACCACAGTATTTAACGAGACTCTCCTCCCACCGATCTTTATACATTTTTCCCAGAAACAGCCCCTTGTCTGTGCTTGGCAGTCAGAACGACCCCCCCCCCACCCCCTCAGTGAAATTCCTGGCTCTCAGCCAGCCTCTCAAAATGGGGAGCCTGCTATGCTGCCTCAGCCTGGTGACCTCCTCCTGATCCCCAGCCCTCAGGGCTTTAAGCTCAGGCCTCTTCTAACCAACACCCACCCCAACCCCCCACGCCCACACTTTCTTGCCAGAAGCTTCTTAAAGGAGAAAGTCCTCCTTCTCTGCTCCCTTGTCCCTTCCTCTCCTTTCCTCCTCTTTTTCTTCTTCTTTTTTTTTTTTTTTAAGATTTTATTTATTTATTTGACAGAGAGAACACAAGCGGGGAAGGGCAGTTGGAGAGGGAGAAGCAAACTCCCCACAGAGCAGGGAGCCGGAAGCAGGACTTGATCCCAGGACCCTGGGATCATGACCTGAGCCAAAGGCAGGCGCTTAACCGACTAAGCCACCCAGGTGCCCTGTTTTAACTTTTTGTAATGAGATGAGAAAAATAGTAGAGAGAGAGAGGAAAAAACTGAGGTCGAAACAAGAAAATAAAACCTCCTGAGAACACTACCATCCCTTTTGCTGAGATGATGCCTTACCAGACATTGGATGTGGGGAGCTAAAGGATGGTTGTAGATCGAGGTCCCCAATCCGTGAAGCTGTGGGAACCAGGGAAGAGGACGGGTTTCTGTGTGCGATGGTTCAAATGGCTATTGCACAGCCTCCGGCTGCCTGACTTCAGGTCAGGATTCACGCAGGCATCTGGGCTCTTTGGACTGCTGGTGCGGACACTTGTGAGTCATTCTGGGATTGATGTAATCCAGTTGCACTTGACCGCCCAGGCTGTCTCTAGAGAAGGAGAACAGGTAGAGCCAGGATCAGATGATGAGAATTTTCCACGTTATGGTGGTGATGGCCTGAAAAGCCTAAAACGACGTATTAGCCTTCCCAGAAGACCATTCCTTAGCTGGGAGACCGTGCTGTAGACCCACAGTTAAGTGGAATGCTCAAGAAGTTTGTTTTCCCCTGTGATATTTGGATGCTGAAGCTTTCAGGGAGTAATTTACTGAATTGCTATATAATGGAATTGACTTCAAAAGACCCGGGGACGCCTGGGTGGCTCAGTTGGTTAAGCAGCTGCCTTTGGCTCAGGTCATGATCCCAGCGTCCTGGGATCGAGTCCCCCATCGGGCTCCTTGCTCGTCAGGGAACCTGCTTCTCCCTCTGCCTCTGCCTGCCATTCTATCTGCCTGTGCTCGCTCTCTCTCCCTCTCTCTCTCTCACAAATAAATAAATAAAATCTTTAAAAAAAAAAAAAAAGACCTGAACACGTGTACTTGAAGCATTATTTTTATTTTCTCTTTTAAGGGAGTCAGTTATATTTATCTTGCTGTGGTAACAAAGGAAAAGTAACCAAACATATGTATCTTAATAATTGTTTTTAAAGTTGATTAACGATGGCCATAATGAAGCTTTATATTTGCATAAGGCTCTACAGTACACAGAGCCATTGGTAACATGTTTCCATTGGATACTCACAACCACCCCAGGCAGGGAGCAAAGACCGTTGCTGCTTTTCACAGGTGAGAAAGTGGGAGAAGAGGAGCGATGAGTGGGGGCCTCAGTCACGTAACTAGAGAGAGATTTAAGGCTTGACTCTCCATCATCTGACTCGAAGGCCGGTGGTCCCTCTTCTGCATTTTGGGTGTGAAGTCGCGTAACACCGAGAGGGGAGCCTTGATGATGTTTGACTCCTGTTAGGGGATGGGGATTGGCAATGCCCTTCCCACGTCTCGTCTCATCGAATCCTCACAACTCCAGGGAGCTGTCACCGTGCCCACTTTTCTGAGGAGAAAATGGCTCCCTGGGAGGTTCACTTGCTAATCGAGGCTAGTAGGTGGAGGGGCTGGGGTTTGACCAGGTGTCCAGCTCCCGAGCTGACTCTTTTTTTTTTTTTTTAGATTTTTTTTTTTTTTATTTACTTAACAGACAGAGCTCACAAGTAGGCAGAGAGGCAGGAAGAGAGAGAGAGAGGAGGAAGTAGGCTCCCTGCTGAGCAGAGAGCCCCATGCAGGGCTCGATCCCAGGACCCTGGGATCATGCCTCGAGCCGAAGGCAGAGGCTTTAACCCACTGAGCCACCCAGGTGCCCCTGGAAGACTCTTTTTCACCAAGAGCCTGCCTCATCCTGTTCCATGAGGAAAGATCACACTGAGTGTCGAAAGTGTTAGAGAACTGAAGCATTGGTTTTTCTGACCTTTACCTTTAGTAAATTGGATTTATGGAATTATTCGCTACTTTTTTTTTTTTTACAGATCTGTTTACTTATTTTATTTATTTATTTTTAAAGATGTATTTATTTATTTATTTGACAGAGAGAGAGAGAGAGAGAAAGAGATCACACAAGCAGGGGGAGAGACAGGCAGAGGGAGAGGGAGAAATAGGGAACCCAATGCAGGGCTTAATCCCAGAACCCTGGGGTCATGACCTGAGCCAAAGACAGATGCTTAAGGACTGAGCCACCCAGGCAACCTGTTTACTTATTTCAGAGAGAGAGGGAGAAAGCAGGGGGATCGGCAGAGAGACAAAATCTCCAGCAGGCTCCCCACTGAGCTGAGTGTGGAGCCCCACATGGGGCTTGATCTCATGACTCTGAGGTCATTACCTGAGACAAAACCAAGAGGCAGATGCTTAACTGACTGAACCTCCCAGGTGCCCATTCTCTTCTCCACTTTCAGACAAAGATAGCTTTCCTGAGCATTTTTTACAAAATAAGACAAATTTGGGGGTGCCTGGGTAGTTCAGTTTGTTAATCATCTGCCTTTGGCTCAGGTCATAATCCTGGGGTCCTGGAATCTAGCCCAAGTCGGGTTCCTGGCCCAGTGGGGAGTCTGCTTCTGCTTCTGCTTTTCCCTCTGACCCCCTCCCTGTTCATTCTCTCTCTCTCAAATAAATAAACAATTTTTTTTTTTAAAAGACAAATTTTCAAGAAATCAATACTTGTCTCTTGGAAGAGTATGAAACTAACAGTCTTAAATATCCTTTGGCCAGGGATACCTGGGTGACTCAGTCCGTTAAGCATCTGCCTCCAGCTCAGGTCATGACCCCAGAGTCCTCGGATAGAATCCCACATTGGGATCCCTGCTAGGCGGGGAGCCTGCTTCTCCTTCTGCCTGCTGCTCCCCCTGTTTTTGTGCACGCTCGCTCGCTCTCTCTCTCTCTCTTTCTGACAAATAAAATAAATAAAATCTTTAAAAAAATATCCTTTGGCCAGAACATTATTTGATGCTACTCTTAAGCCTATAGAATGAGAGGTTTCTAATCTGTGGAACTGATACGTCATGTCTCAGGGTAAAGTGAAAGTCTTACGAGAGACAGCTAACAAACCCAGATGATGATTACTTAACCCTAGGGTTTTGGTATACTAATTGCTTATTAATATGAACTTCTCATTCTTTGCCTTTGAACCAAAGTAGGCTTTCTTTGCATTCATTCCTTTTTTTTTTCTTAATTCATGCCATTTGTCCTCAGGCCCATGTTGTCTGGTAGGAGATGCCTAACAGGGCTTGCTTGGTTTTACTACTGATTTAATGAAGTTTGTAGGATGAATTTTGTGGTACGGATTCATGTTACTGTATTTTCTAATTAAAAAACTAAAATGGCGCAAACACACTTTCGTCCTAGATGACGGCTACACTCAGAAACTTGGCTGATTCACCACTAGCAAGAAGTAAGTTGCTGAGCATCAGTGCCCTTCCCCAGCTCTGCATGGTGATGGGACAATACATGGCTGACAAGGATGTCTGCACCAATATTGCCAGAATATTCAGGTAGGTGGACTAGGAAAATGAAGTAACCTTAAACAAGTGCTAAGGCTTAAATTTGGGGTTATCTTTAATATTTGTGTGTGTGCAGCTTGCAAGGAATCCTATTTTTGCTTCTAACTTTCCCCAGACAAAAAAAAAAAAAAACAACTAGTGGCCCACGTTCAAAATAAATGATGTAAAACTAATGACCCCATTTCCCGTGTATTCCTAATGTGATTCTAAACTCATCCATTGTAAGTCACCTTAGTTCTTTGGTGAGTTGTGAGTTATCCTGGGGTTTTCACAGGATAAACAAAAATTCCTCTTAGCTTATTGGAGATAAAGAACTGTATCACAAAACACGATGAACTTTCTAGTATACTTGGAAACAGTACTTAAGGATTATAATTCAAAAAGGGCAGCATTACTTAGAAAGTCTGATCTGACCTGATTATTTGAGTTCACTTGTGCAACTAAATTTGGGCTCATATACTCACTCGTCATGTTTACACTTCAAGCCAGAAGTGAGGACTGTCGGCATCCAGGTCGCTTCAAAGCAAGATGTTAAATTTCAGAACTGTCTTTAAATTATGCATTTATATTTCCTCTCTTTAAATTATGCATTTATATTTCCTCTGCTCCTTGCCCATGTTTTTACATAATTATCATTCTCAAGAGACCTGGGCCTTTTTAAACTTCACTGTAGTTGTTTAGTAAAATAGAATATTCTCTGAAGACCCATCGGTAACTGACCCTGGGATGAGGATGGGAGTCCAGATTTGATTTTTTTAGCCCTGTGCTTTCCCTTCTGGGTACTTAGCACTCCCATTTTGAAATGCTATAAAATCATACATTTTGGTTTTGTATCTGGTGGCGTGCAGGGATTCAGTTTAATTTTTTTCCCATATGGCTAGTCAGTTGTCCCAGCACCTTTTATCAAATATACCATTCTCCCCAACTCCTCCCCCACCCCACCGGTGATTCTAAGAGCTTAGTTATTCAAACACGAGATTCCATATACTTGTAGGTCTGTTTCTGGGCATTCTGGCCCATCTTCAGATCAGTACCGCACTGTCTTTACTGTTATAGATCGAAGTCTTGCTATAAGATAAGATAAATCCTGGGGTGCCTGGGTGGCTCAGTGGGTTAAAGCCTCTGCCTTCAGCTCAGGTCATGATCCCAGGGTTCTGGGATCAAGCCCTGCATCGGGCTCTCTACTCAGCAAGGAGCCTGCTTCCTCTTCTCTCTCTGCCTGCTTCTCTGTGATCTCAGTCTGTCAAATAAATAAATAAAATCTTAAAAAAAAAAAAGATAAGATGAATCCCTCACCCCTTTTCTCCTTTAAGATCCAAATTCTTCCCTCTTTCTCAAGAGTTGGAGAATCAGCTAAGGTTGATTAGCTGTTGAAAACCCTAAAGTTTAGGGTTTTTCTTGGAATAACACTGGGTATGTAGAGCAACTGGGATGCGAGTAAAGAGAACGGACACATTTATGATACCGAGTCTTCTACCGATAAACAATTATGATATTTTCTTTTATATCTTCCCATAAAATTTTATAATTTTCTCCAAAAAGATTTTGTACATCTTTTATTAGATTTATCCCTTCATGGCTTTTGCTGCAACTATGAATACAGTCTTTTAAACATATTTTTAAAGGGGATTAAGAAGTACAAACTTCTATTTATAAAATAAATAAGTCACAAGGAAGAAAAGTACAGCATAGGGAATATAGTCAATAATTTCATAATAACTTTGTATGGTGACAGGTGACGACTACACTTATCATGGTCAACATGTCATAATGTATAGAATGTTGAATGACTATGTCATATACCTGAAATTAACATAGTAGCACATGCCAACCATATAATATGTGTATAAAATACTTCCTAATAGGTTGTTGCTGGTTTATATAAGTAGTATTGATGTTTGCTTATTAATCTTTACCAAGGAATCTTGAAATTTAGGGCCAAGAGCTAGTCTGTAGATTCTCTTGGATTTTGTAGGCAATTTGTCTGCAAATAAAAATAATTTGTTATTTTTTCCCCCAATTATTACAACTCTTTCCTGCTGTCCCACCTCTTCCTTACCACCTTGCTCAGGATGTCCCATTGAAAGCTGTAAGAGTGTTGGACCTGTTGCCTTGCTCCTGACTTCAAAGAAAATATTTTTGTGGTTTTACCAATTAAAAGTAATATTTATTGTAGGTTTTTGTTTGTACCCTTCAGAAGGCTAGGGAAGAATTTTCTCACACTAATGGATGTTAAATTTTCTTGAATGCTTGCCCTGAATCTATTTGATTATGTGGATTTTCTTTTTTTAGTTCATTAATATAGTAGATCACAGATTAATAGATTTTCTCATGTTAAGACACTATATACCTGCTAGGTTTAATTGGTTAATATTTTACTCAAGATTTTTCATCTATGAGTTAGATTAACCTGTACTTTTCCTTTTTCATATTGTCCTTGTCTGGTTTTAGTATCAAGTTTATTCCAGCCTCATAAAATGAGTTGTGAAATAGTCCCACTTTTTCTCTTTCCTAAAAGAATTTGTGAAAATGAAACTTACCTGTTTCTTGAAAAATTTGTAGAACTTGTTTGAAAATCTATTTTGTCCTGGTGGGTGTGTCTGCACACATTCATGTGTGATTGTCACTGACTACTGATTCACTTTCTTTAATGGTTATATATTTGTTGTATTCTCTATTTGTGCTGGGGTTAGTTTCAGAAAGTTATATTTTTATAGGAATCTGCCCATTTTATCTAAGTTTTCAAACAATATAAAGTCATTCCAAATATTATCTTATTATCCTTATAATTTCTGTTGCATTTTGAATCATGTCCCCTTTTATTCTTTAACTAATAATATTTACTACTACTATTTTTTTTTTTTAAGATTTTATTTGTTTATTTGATAGAGAGGGAGATCACAAGTAGGCAGAGAGGCAGGCAGACAGAGCGGGAGGAAGCAGGCTCCCTGCCGAGCAGCAAGCCCAATGTGGGGCTCGATCCCAGGACCCTGAGATCGTGACCTGAGCTGAAGGCAGACGCTTAACCCACTGAGCCACATAGGCACCCCTACTACTAATATTATTTAAGAAATACTTAGATAACGACTATCAAATGCCGGGCAGTGTTCTGAGCACTTTCCAAATATGAAATTATTTATTCCTTATAACAACTTTAAAGGTGGGTACTATCCTTATTGTCTTCATTTCATATATAAGGAAACTCAGTCATGCAGAGGCTTAGTACTGTTCTCAGTATCACACAGTTGGAAATCAAACCAGGCCATCTGTCTGGCTCTGGAAGCCGTATATTTAAGCACTAGGTCACACTGACTCTGCATTGTTTATACTGATTTTCACTCCTTTTGATTGCATATGATTTCTCCTTTTTTTCTGGGTCAGTCTTGCCAAAGGTTTGCTAACGTTAATAATTTTGGTAAAGTATCAGCAGATTTCTTGATCCAATCCATTGTATGTTTGTTTTCTATTATATTCCTTCTGTCCTCATCTGTATCAACACTTTTCTTCTACTACCTTTGGATATATTATATTTTTCTTCTGTTTTAGTTAGAAATTTCATTCCTTTTTAAAAATCCTCTGAAGACTAGAAATTTTCTTTTAAATGGTGCCAAAAACATTTCCTTTAAATGCTTTAAATGGTGTATCTCACAAATATTGATTTGTGGGTTGTTGTTGTTGTTGTTTTTTTCAGTTACTCGGGTCTCTGTGTTTTATTTTTAAACCTTCAGGTTTCTTTGTCCCATAAGTTATGTTCTTAAGTTTTCAAAAGTAAGTTTTCTAAGATATGTATTCTTTTTTTTAAATTATTTTTATTAACATATAATGTATTATTAGCCCCAGAGGTACAGGTCTGTGAATCGTCAGGCTTACACACTTCACAGCACTCACCATAGCACATACCTGCCCCAATGTCCATAACCCAAACACCCTCTCCATAACACCCCCTCCCCCCAGCAACCCTCAGTTTGTTTTGTGAGATTAAGACTCTCTTATGATTTGTCTCCCTCCCAATGTCATCTTGTTTCATTTTTTCCTTCCCTGCCCCCCAAACTCCTCACCCTGCCTCTCAAATTCCTCATATCAGAGAGATCATATGATAGTTGTCTTTATCTGACTGACTTATTTTGCTCAACGTAATACCCTTTAGTTCCATCCACGTTGTTGCAAATGGCGAGATTTCATTTCTTTTGATGGCTGCATAGTATTCCATTGTATATATGTACCACATATTCTTTATCCATTCATAAGATATGTATTCTTACGTTGATTTCCTAACTTAATTGTTCTTTGACCAGAGAATATAAGCTGGAAGACACTTCTCTGAAAATTTACTGAGACTTGTTAATGGCTTCGTACAAGGTCACGTTTCTACAATACTGATGATGTTTTACCTATTAATCTATCACTTAATGAGAGATTTAGGAACATCTCCCAAGTTGATGTAGGTTTGTCAGTACTGCCTTGTGGGTTTTGGTTGGTTGCTTGTTTGCATGTCTTCAAAATTTTGAATCTGTTTTCAAGGTTTTTAACTTTCAGGACATTTTGCCTCTTATCACTGTATCACTATTAAACAGTTCAACATTTGTTTCTGATGGGGTCCCAGGGGATTCAGTGGTTGGTATATAAACAGAATTTGTGTAAATTTCTTAGCTTGTGTTTTCCGAAACACGTGTATGGTGTAAATTCACACTGAATACATGTATCAGAGACTTCAGGTTTCTCTTTTTCGAAGGATCCCCCCTGGCCCCCACCTCCATGCCCCCAGAGTCTAAAGCAGACAGCAAGCCTCCTTGTGTCTTATCTGGAATGGCGTGCGGAGTATTTCTAGCCTCTTTTTCAGGCACGGGCAACCCTTTGAACGTCTGCATTTGGAGTAACCGTATGTATATTTGAACTTAATGAGAAAAAAAAAGTTTATTTTTATTTTCCCATTTGGCATTTCTGCAGCAAACTTACTTCTTACCATGACTGCTGTGTAGCCTTGGCCAACTACTCCAGATGTTACGCCTTGTTTTTGAAACTGATAAACAAATACCAGAAGAAACAGGTCAGTTCTTCATGCATATAATTCTTCAGAATGTCTTTGCATTCGTGTGTTCTTGTGAGCTCATGTTGGGTAGTCTTATGTTTTGAAGGTACTAGTTTCTTTGAGAAGCTTCCATCTGACGTGTTCATGGGTGGACCAAGGAGACTATTACTTGTAGGAGTTGAAGAGGGAGTAGTTTGAAGCAGAAAGGGCTACAACAGGATGGTTGAGGTGGTAGGATTCCTGGTTTAGGGAAGAAGGTAGGTGCACAGTGTCATTCCTCCCAGTGATTTATAGACCCTTACTTGAGAATCCTCTTGGTGTGGGATGGGGGTCATTTCTAGGACCCATCCTCAGCCTGCTGAGTCAGATGGGTGGGGAGAGGCCTGGCCATCTGCACTTCAGTGAGGACCACTGGAACCTCTGATGCAAAGTACAGTTTGGGAACCCCGACAATGGGTAGACTCTAAAGATTCTTTTAGCCCTGAAATTCTTTAATTCTTTGACACTTTAATATTTAGAAGATGAAATTCTTCCAAAGTAAGGTTGGGGTTAATGGATCAGGTAAAAATGTATATACAGTTGTTTAAAAGAAGGAAGAAGTCACAAATGGCTCCACCTTCATAAAATCATAAGGTTTATTATAAGTTCTTGAATATTCATTAAATGCAGTTTATTTTTATTCAGCTTTATAAATGCTTAAGGTGACATCAGCTCTTTAGTGAGGTGTTTTATACATGAACACAATTTATATTCATTTCAAATATGGTAAAATTTCAGAATCACTAAGTTTAAAACCAAATAATTTATGTGGATACTAGGACTATTTTAATATAAAGCCTTGTGTTTGTTTATATTGGACATCTCAAAACCACCTCAGAATATAATCCCTGTTTGCCACAAATAGCATGTAACTTATTTTTACCCAGCCCAGTACTTTTGCTGAGAATGACTAAATTTGTCAGATTTGATGCTATTATTAGCTGATTTATTAAAAGGTTACTAGTCTCTTTGGTTATACAGATGTCAGAGAAGTTTCTATTCTCATATTATACCATGACTACAGCTTGAAGATGATAAAACCTTGCTTAAAGTGTTAAGTTTTCATTTAGATTTTAAGCAGTGATTTAGAAATACGCACTTGAGTTTCTGATTCTGAGTATTTGGGCTGCAAATGCTTTCCCCTACATATTTTGTGTTTTCTCTACATTATACACTTTGAAGGATTTCAGGGTATAAGATTTTGCTATGTCAGTGGAAGAATCGATTTGATTAATCTACCCGAAAGTATTCTCAATCTGAAGTGTCCATTAAACATTTATTAATCTAGAATTTGGTACAATATATTATCTGAACTGTAATCTTTGGACAAGTGACTTACTCCAGCAGAAAACTTAAGCACTCCTATTCTTGGTTGTCTTTTTTAAGGAAAAAAATAAAATGGTAGAAAAGATACTTTACTATAGCATTAAAAGAATTCTTTTAGAACCTGTACTTAAAAAGTTAAGTTATAGATTTTATTTTGAAGTGTTATTTTATGGACTTTCTTTGTAATTTTATTTTGTCATCATTATTCTTTTGCTTTGGTGTTTTGATCATGGGTGATTTAGATAACTAGAACTGGAGAAGACACCTTTGCTTGCACTAGAATTTTCAAAAGTCGGTGAAAGAAAACATTTCTGTTTAACAGTTTGATTTCAAGTTATGTCAGAACCTGTAATTTTTTTAAAAAGGAAGAAAACCTATCAGTTCAGTGCTAACAAATAGCCCCGTTGTTTTGTAGCATTACTAGTAATAGCTGTTTGTTTTTCTGACTAGCTTGGATAATGGCCATGTTTAGTAAACAGATCCCCTGGTATCTTGCCAATATGAGACACTTGTGATGTCAACATAGTTAGGAGTATGCTTTTTTTGGTTCAAAGGATGAACCATCTTAAAGTTTAATTGGTAAAAATTTTTACCACACCTCTTAGTGAACTATTTTTCACTTTGGACCAATAGTTATCTGTAAAGCAAAATTGGTGTTTCAGACCCATATTTTTCCTCTGTTGATCTATATGATAATTTTGTGTTCCTGTTAAAATTATTTTGTTCAGAAGAATGAAAATCTCCTTGCAAACTATGTGCAGTACATATTGTTTCCAGAACCATCCAAGAAATGCATAACTTATTAAATTATTTTTATCACTGTAGTAAAAATAATATTCAGGGGCGCCTGGGTGGCTTAGTCAGTTAAGCAGCTGCCTTTCGCTCGGGTCATGATCCTGGGGTCCTGGGATGGAGTCCCACATCGGGCTCCCTGCTCAGCGGGGAGTCTGCTTCTCCTTCTGCCTCTCTCCCTGCTCATGTTCTCTCTCTCTCTCTCACTTTCTCTCACTCTTTCTCACTCATATAGATAAATAAAAACTTTTAAAAATCATATTCAGATATGTTGTTTATTTCCTTGTCTTCTTAAAGGTACTAAAAATAATTTAACCTCTTCTTTTTTAAAAATTATTTTTATTAAGACATAATGTATTATTTGCCCCAGGGGTACAGGTCTGTGAATCATCAGGCTTACACATATCACAGCACTCACCATAGCCCATACCCTCCCCAATGTCCAAACCCAGCCACCCTATCCCTACCTAATTTAACCTCTTCTTTTTTTTTTTTTAAAGATTTTATTTATTTATTTATTTGACAGACAGAGATCACAAGAGGGCAGAGAGGCAGGCAGAGAGAGAGAGGGGGAAGCAGGCTCCCCGCTGAGCAGGGAGCCTGATGTGGGGCTCGATCCCAGGACCCTGAGATCATGACCCGAGCCAAAGGCAGAGGCTTAACCCACTGAGCCACCCAGGCGCCCCTAATTTAACCTCTTCTTGATGCCCAAGGTCAATATTATAAGTATTACTCACTGCTGTAGAGGCTATCTCTCCCATCCTGGAGCATGAATCTGTTGATGAGATTCTTTAAATGTCTGTGCCTTCATTTTGTAGATCTCTCTCTCTTCCCTTTCTACTGATTGTTAACTCTGCCTTTGGTAATCTTCACTTACATTTTGTGATTATTTCCTTGCAGTTAAGAGAGGAAACTCACAATAAAATTTGTTAAAAGTATCACTTAAAGAAGCCTTAAATACAATTGAATATGAACGAACTCTTAATGAGGGGACCTGAGGGGACTCTTAGATGAAATAGCCTTTGTCATTTCTCATCTTCAAGGGCCAATTAGTAGCACAAGATGTAACTCTCGTGTCCCCTCCCTTATGAAGCTTTTGAAGACCCTCAGCTCCTCCCACATCTGTGCATCATTTTAAAGATTCAAACGTAGCCAGTACACCCAGCTAGCACACCCAGAACTAAGGATGTCCCAAGCAGAATGTCCCTAGTCTTAACCACTTCACGGTAATTAAGAAAAATTATTCAAAACTTAGAAATAAGATGCTGGGCTGGGAGGCTACATGTCCTGACAAAGTCATGCTGGGGAACTGTTTAATTCTCCAGGAGAATGTATCTGTGTTTAAACTTGCTATTTACTATTTGATTAGAACCCAGGCCCTGTAAAGTACACATTAATTTGTAGATTTTTCTCTGGTAGACAAGATAACCTCAAAAGTTATGATTGTATGACCCTGGGGGCTATTAGCCAGGTGTGTATCTAACCTAGTAATCGAACATTTTTTTAATGCTTGTAAGCACCCAATTCTTTAATTGTTCTTGGAGCCAACTTAACCATTGTATTGGCTCCCTCATTAATGAGATAAGTAATTTTTTTAATGTGTTAATTTTATATCTGTATGAGAATCATGTTGTTAACTCTTCAAAAATTCTACATTGACTCTGTGCCGTGTTTTACTTATCCTAAAGAATGAAATGTTTACAGTTTTGATCTCTGATTTTTTTTTTTTTTTTAGTAAGAAAAAGGGACACATAATTTATATTATATTTAGAAGAGCAGGGTAATTGTTCAGGCCATAAGGAAGTAGTTATGTGTCCCAACTACTTCCTAAAATCTTTAACCAAAAGCTCCATACTCCATAGGTCTTTATAAATATTTCTTTTGTGATTCTCCAAATGGTTGTTTTTTGTGTAGCTGCCTCGCCCACTACTGGGAAAATTCCTGAAGGACACAGGCCTTGTTTTGATAAACCTGAGATGACGCTTGGTGTACTAGACACATGACAAAATGTTGAAAGAATGAATTTTGAGTATTTGAAATGCTTTGGAATCCATAAAGCATGATAAAATATTTCTTCTAGTATTCTAGTACTTCTTCCTTAAATATTTACTTTCCTTTTCCTGCTTTGGAAGAGGAAATAATAATAATTTTTTCCCACATTTTTCACATTGGTGAACTGTCATACAGAGAACTAAAACAGAAGTAAGGGATTTTAAATTATTTCAGACCAGGATAGCGTCTTAGGTTCATGGTGCCAAATGGCCAGGTGAATATGATTTGTATTTCCTCTCTTTTAGAAATAAAAGTAAATCCAGAAAACCCACACCAGGCATGTTCTGCTGGGAATGTATTAATCTGCAGTGGCTAAAAACTGCTACACCTGAGATTTATTTGGATGTTGAGGCTTTGAACTAATCTTTGGAAAACCCACCAGGCCTCCAGCAACTTACAGAATTGTTAGTTCCTATAATTTTTATTTTATTTTATTTATTTTCAGTGTTCCAGAATTCATTGTTTATGTTTACAAAAGTCCTAGATTAAGTTGGGTTGTAGATGTATACTTTGGAAGACTGGTAGTCTCTTAATAGACATAGCTATCACCAAGCGATTAAAAAAGCAGGAGTCTATACACCTTATCTTTCTTCTGAGGGGTCAGTATTAACTTTATCTTAAAAGTCTGAGGGCTACACTAGGAATCAGCAGAGACTTCATTTTTCTGAGATTAATTTTTAAAGCAAAGAGTGTTCATGTCTAAGCATTTTTTTTTCCAAGAATACAGAATAAAAATTAAAAAATTTAAAAAAAGGAAGGAAAAAGAAAGAGCCCTCTGCATACCTCCTTTAGTGATTTTATCAAGCTGG